CCTCCAAAACTGGTTCGTCCAGCCTCATTGGAAGTTTCCAGTCGCCTGAATTCCGTGCTTCAACTGCATTGTGAGATTGAGAGTGGATCACCCATTCCCACCGTTGTGTGGGAACGAGATGGATTGACATTTAGTCGAACAAAGAGCTATTACACCACGACCGAATCGGGCCTGTTCATTTTCAACTCACTCAAGTAAGTGGATTTCGTTTTCCCAATGGGTTGCGATACTTTTCTGTATGAAAATCGCACTTTGCAGAACACAGAAATCCAATTGAATACGAGACTTTCATACAAATGGGGCCCTGTTTTTACCGAAACGAAACATTTTTCTTGCCATAAAAAAAGATGAAATTTTATGGATTAAGGATACACTACGATGACTCCATGGGCACGTCTGTCAGACAGGTAGAAACAGTATCCACTAGTTGACAAAATATTGAAAATTGGTTCTCGTAGCTCGGGTGAGCTGAATTCCATTTCGCCTGTTCGCCGAGTTTGGCAATTTGTTTGCAAACGTTTCATCACCAGCCGAGGTGACTTCATACGCACTGACGATGTCACCCCGACTGGTGATGAAACGTTTGCAAACAAATTGCCAAGCTTGGTGAACAGGCGAAATGGAGTATCCACTAATCTTAAATATTGATCCATTGAGAGATAGTGCTTTCTTGTTCAAAATATAAACTAAAAAGCCGAGAACATTTCACTGCATGTATACACAGATAGTCAGTGCAGTCAAAGTAAACAAGTTACATGGTGAATTAGTCGTGTAAATGAAGGTTGTGAAAGTTTCCAAACTAGTCATAACCCTCAGGGAGGCTAGTGCTGAGATGCACTGGCTGTGATGCTAGAAGTGAGCTCACCAAGATAGGTCGTGGTATATCGTGTAAATTCAAAATGAAAAACGGTCTAATCAGCTGCCCGGCGGTCGAGTGGGTGGAATGCCTGCGCTCTACCTATGGGGTTCGTGGTTCGAGCCCCAGTTGGGTCGATAGATTCGCGTTGTTGATGAGACTCAGCCAGGTCGATACAGCTGTCCATTGCTTCCCAGCTTTCCAGCTCATTCTGCATTTACACGACAAATTCATCACGAATTCGTCCTCCATTATTCTCGTAAACAAATTATAAAGGGAGAAGAGGCAGGGCATAAACCAAAAGGCATTCACAGTCAGGTGGGAGGAGAATAAAATAGAAATTTATTATTCACCAAAGAAAAATGAAATTTGGCTACCCACTGAGTGCACCATTGGGATTGGTGATTACGGTAGGCTAGTTTCTAGACACTTTTAAAAACAACTTCAAAATACTAGTGGTTTGCCAAACCGTGAGCTATAATTTTGAACCATGTTGCGTAATCACTAACAATAGTTGAACTTCTGTCCGTCGAAACTGTCACTTTAAGAAGCCAAATCAGTATGTATCTATATTGTCTAGAGAACTGAAAATCCGCATTGTAGCAGGTGAACACGATTGGACTTGGCTTGAAGTACAAAGGTCTTTTTCACACACGGTGTCGATGAGCGGGTATGTTGATAAGCACCCCATGCTTTGTCCACTTGGTAAATGCTGAAGGCAAGTGTTTTGTGCTTTTCTGGCAAGCGTCACCACACTTGGATGGGAACTGAATGCAGACTCGCAGTCTCCGTAGCTGGCGTATGAGAATTGTGACTCCGAGAGTGAGCGAGATCGAGGAGAATCTCGCGGCTGACGACGCAGTGATTATTTTCATCATGTATTCGTTAAAGACACCGTTAGCTCTAAATAAATTTGTCATGATGCTCGATGCAGTCCGTTGATCGAGATATCAATCCCATTTCGTTCCGAATATTTGATCACTAGTCATTATGAAGTAAGCCATAAGTTGAGTTATCAAAGCTACCAGAAGTCTGAATGAAAAAAGATTATTCTGTTTTGTGAATAACTCGACATACTACTTATAAGTAAAGAGGGAACCGCTGAAAAATATGTATAACCTCAGTGGACTTCGTTGTACATCTAAAAATAGTCAAAAAGAGTACATATACAAGAGTATATCAAACAGACCCGGCGTTAATTGGTCAGGTTATGTAGTGCCTGCGCTATTCATTTGTGGAAAGTCATTAGCAAATGCCATAAACCACATTGTTCACATTGCACATCAAAAGTTATTCAGACATTTTCCATATGTTTTGGTAAAATTTGCCATAACCGATTGATAATACAAACGCACTATCCCTTGCGTGTAACTGCTTAAGATTCATACGTACCAGGTATTCATTAAAAAGTATGATATATATATGTGCATGCACTTGCATCACTAATCCAAAACGATTATGTCCGTGCCGGCGAAGCGTCTAACTAATATAACTGAAATAAGTGGCTAGGAAAATAAGAAAGCCTTTTCTCGTCGATAATCAGGAGTAAGAGAATTCTTACGTGGATCAAGAGAATGATAAATAAAATATAAATGCATTGATTATTTGATTATTTTTAATCTGCCTGATTTAGTGCTGATCCCAAGGGTATAATTGAATTGCACCCCCGAGTTCCAAAGCAAACATTGAGTTTTTCTGTTCGTGGTTCTTATCATCAGTAAAATGCAAAACATACTGGCGCCTATAATCAAACAGTGGTTTAGAATTTATTTATTCCATGCAAATGTATTCCCTCTTATACAGAGCAGACTAACTCAGAACTGTGAAGCTACTTCAACCGAGTTCCCTTTGAAAATCCATCCACATATCTAAGGATCCAACGGGGCATACGAATCTCATGTCCATCAAATAGCTGATCAGGACATTTTTATATTGCCTTCGCACACATAGGCTCTTTTGCTTCGTTCCCATGGATTACGTAAGAAACGCATCGCAGTCATTCTATCATTTGCTGAGCTTCCGTATCTGTGAAGAACTGCGTGAAATACTCGACGGAAACTAAGTTCAATTTCTGTTCCTCTCCGACGGGATTTGGTTTGTACTTATGCAATGCAGACCCTTCACTCTGTTCAATCACTTGCGGGTTGATTTTTTCACGTTCGAACTAAGTTTTTCACTCTCAAACTAATTGTACTATTTAATGAAATTCGCATTTATCCAATAGCGGTGCTAACTGTTATTGTTATTCTTATTGGTACATCTTTTTTGCCTTTTATGTAACACTCACTTTTTGCGTGTCAATTAAACGCAGACGTGAGGACGAAGGGGAACTTACCTGCGTGGCCAAGAACGCTGCCGGAGAGGATCGTCTTACCTTCCGAGTGTCTGTTCAAGGTGAGTTTGTTCGTTCGTTCGTTCTTTCGTTCGTGGTATCGGGTAATCAATCCAGTATCAGGTGATTTCTTGGTTTTGGATAAGTACGAAGCGTATCTTAAGGGTTTTATGACCACAGCTTCATGGTTTATGAGGCTTGATGTAATTGCACAACACAGAATTGTGGTCAGGTGGTTTTTCCAGTCTGGTCACGTGAATAACTATAATCAAAAGTTGTCTGGGAGGTTGGAGAGATTCGACGCAGTCGAAACTGCAATAAAAGGTTAGACATTGCTCGGATGTTAGCAATATTTACATAGTCAGCTAGTTCTGAGTGAACACAACAAGACCGAATTCCAAGCTCGAAGTGTGTCACTCTGCGAACACACGATACCCATATGAACGAAAATTTCCGGTCTACCTAACGGTTTTACACTTCAAGAAGTCGATCATTACCCAAAGTGGAACTATTTTGTAAACGATTCTGGGCTGATCCAGTTCAAGCTACAGACCGGTCAGCAAATGTGAACAACAGATCAGATCATGCCAATTTCTTGAACTCAGCCAACTTCACATCCCGCACAGTGAAGTGAGACCACAAAAGTTTCTTGGAAGTAGAATGGGCGCTACAGCTCCTGAGCAACCAAGTTATGACTGGTTAAATCTGAAGACTTGTGGTTGTGACGGCCGTGTATTGAAGTACGGTGGTCTCGGTGCGTGATAATGTAACTTTACTTTAGGGCACATTAGATGAAACAAATGTCATAGTGCACTGTTCCTAAAAACACAAGTAGAACTTACAGATAGAGTGTAGGGGAAAAGTGATGTCCGGCAAATGTCAGATTTTGTCCGGATTTCTCCGTCCAATCGATCACACTGCACAAGAATGAATTAACCAATATGCACTTCTGGGGGCCTTTCAGCAGTCAAGGACGATAAGTATCATTATATCAATAATCATATTATCAATTATTTGAGTGATGTCGT